CTCCAAAGACAGCTCAGCATCCAGCTGTTGGAGAAACGAGCTGCATGACAGCCCCCATGGTTGTGGCTTGCTTGTTTTCAGATGAAATCTTAAGGCTTCGGCCAACAGCATCTGTTGGCTGCCAGAGCCTAACAGCTCTAACCTAGGTCTGCTTGCTCCGCTTTGCCAGTCCAAAGATGGCCTTGCTTCCAGCTGTTTGAACACACAAACCAGGGGAACACCGCTTAACCTTGTCTTGGCAAGGTTTCACTCAAAATTCATTTTACAAAGAAGACGGTAATCACGGCTGTGATTTCCATTAGGATCTTATGGAATATAAATTGTCAAGCTGTCGTTGGACAAGCAGAGGTCTTCCTACCTCCACCCTAGGTAATTTGGTTCTATCAACCCAGCAAATTAATCTTGTCTGGTTTTGTGGTCTGAAGAAACACAGTCGCAAATTAAATTCAGTCGCTTCAACGCACCAGCCCTATTTTACGTTTAGCCCCCACTTCAAATTAGGAGATGGATTTCTTACTGTGTTTACATGTGAGGCTTTGGTACTGACATGGCACCAGAGGTATGCAAAGTTCCTCACAGAGGAGAAAAAGTGTGTTGCTTGTTACATGTAACATAACTGAGCCTCAGGCAGTGCAGTAACTTTGATTTAAGCTCACATGTTAGGTCAATGTGGAGACTCCAGCAAAATTACTTTTGTTGTTGGTGGTTTGTTTTTTTTTTTTCAGATTCTTGCTTTTTGTACTTAAAGGCTACGGCCTTTCTTTGTTCCATAATTTGATGTACATTTGGAAAAATTGGCTGGGCCAGATGTCCATACAAGATAAATTCATCGTAATTACCCTGTTCCCCACAGCAGGGTACGTGTGATTGCAGTAACCACATCATTTGAGGTACTAATTGATTTTAGGTTCAGTTCTGGTCTCAAAACAGCAACAGGATACATCTTTAATATCAGAAATACTTTTCTAAAAGGGCACGGGTGATTTTTACTGTTGTTATAAGGTACGAGTATATTTCCGGCCCAAACAGCAGAACTGCATTAGCAATTAATCAATGCCTCCAACAAAGGCCATTGCCAGGCTGGAAGCAGCAGCGTGGTGAGGCGGCTCGTGGGAGACTGGGAACAGAGGCTGTTCTCTGTAGGATGCTGGGGCTGGAAACCTGCAGCCGTACCTCACTGAAATGCTAAGAAAATAAAGAGGAGCTGAAAGGCATGGGTCACTCAGAGGGAGTTCAGTCATGTCCCAGAAGAAATGGGACTGTTACGAGACATACATTTTAGCATACGGTTTTTTATTTAAGGGTAAGTCATCCCTCTTAGTGATTGCTTGCACAGAAGTTGTTCATCCCTCTCATTGCTTTTGCTGCCATTCTCTCTACCTTTCCTAACTCACTGCATCCTTTTTGAAGCAAATGACCAGATGGTCAGAGCTTATGTTATTCTAAGGATGTAATAGGGGTACATCAGAAAAATTAGTGCCTACGTTCTAGCAATGGGCAACAGCAAATTAGCTGTAATTAGTACAGAGGCTGCTACTGTAGTGTCTCTTTGGCGTGGAGATGTGCTTTGTCATCACTCCTGTCTGCCAGTTTGAGGAAGAAGTAAGAGCTCAGGATGGGCGTGGGGCCAGCCAGAGCCAAGCTTTGTTTTTTCTCCCTGGGTTGCCCATCTGAGGCAGCTTCTTGTGAGTTTGAGGTCTTGAGACATTGAAACCTTGTGACTTTGAGGTCTGGAGACATTGAAAACTTGTGAGTTTGAGGTCTTTCAAACCTTGAGTTTGAGATCTAAAGGCTGTGAGATCTTGAGCTCTCATTCTTCAGAGCCTTGCGTCTACTAACCAGAAACTGCTCATTTCAGTATAATTTGGCATAATTGCTGAGTTCAGTGAATTTGCCCAGACCTGCCCCACCTGACAATTCGTCCTAAGGTGTATGAAGAAAAAAATAGCTCCAGGCTTTTGTCTGCCTCTGAGTGTTATATCAAAGTGCCTTTGTTGGCGCGTGAGTGTCCTTCATAAAAACAGGGCTTTGCATGACAATTATGTAATAGGTTTTGTTTGGCTTCCTAATTGGAGAACATTTTGAAAGAGCAATAAAACACAATTTGTTCCCTCTTTCCAAAAAAGAAACATCTCCTTTTGGAAGGAAGGAGGGAGTAAATTTACATTATAATGAGCAAATTGTTACGAGCGCGTAGATCAGCGTTGACATAAAGGGTGACAGAAATGAGATGTTCTCATTTTGCGCCGTCCCCTCCCCTCTCTCTTCCCCTCTCGCACGCATTGCCTTGTGCATCCTTCTGCTACAGAGAGCAGGGAAGTCGCTGTGCTCGTAGTCGGCAGCCGTAGCACGTCGCGGCGTGGCTGGCACTAACTGTGCGTGAAATGACTCAATCCTCACCAGGGCTGCCCCAAAAACCTCAACCCTTTCCCTGGCGCGGGGAGGCACGAGCGGTTTGCTGGTGCACCTTGTGCAGCTACTGTCCCTCTCTGTTTTTAACGAGCGCGTTCGTTACGGGTCTGAAGAAGCTGAAAGTGACATTAACCCCCTGCCCAGCTGTTGCAGTGTCAGGGCTCCAGGCAAAATGGCATTTATTTGGCTCCTGGAGAAGTCATCCCAGCGACTGCCTGGAGAGTCTGGCTGCAAGTGAAATCCATATGCAATGCTTCTGTCAGCAAAGACTTGCTGGAAGAGAGTTTATAATAAATATTCACATCTGCTGCTTTGGACACTCCAATCCATCCTACAGATCTTTGCTGTGTCAGGCTTTGTTCTAGACGAAGAAGCCGGGTAGTTATAAAGGTTTGCAAATAGGGCATATTTATCATGGTTAGCTCTACTTTCTAGTTGCCTTTCTCACACGGATATCCATGGCCATGCTAAGCGTAACGCATGATTAAGTATCCTCAGCGCATTTGTAAGCTGGGTTAGACTCTGCCTTTGCTTTCATAAATGGTGAAACAGCATTTGTTTACTTTACGGGTGGAGCCAGTGGGTCTTGAAGATAGTTGTTAAAGAGTTAGTTTGGATGGAAGGACAGACAAGATATTCCCGGGATAAATTGTACATCATGTAGTCATGCCCAAGCCCCTATGGCTTGCACATGGTGAAAACTGTGAGGACTTCTGATGGGTCATGTGTTCCCATTGGCCTCTTGGCAAATAACTAAAAAACTTGGTTGACTAAAAATGGCCCAAATCTCTCCCATTTTTTCATAATCTTCCCCAAAATGACGGCCTTAGTGTCCGATTGACTTTGTCAGTGTCAATATTAATTATTCGTCTGCTGGTGATGTCTTTGCTTTCGGAGAGAAAATACTGATACATAAAAAGAGCTGTAATCATTTGGAGGGTATATTGAACTTGCTCCTAATAGAAAAAGGTGTTTGCCCAAGATCATGACTGGAATGCAAGGCTCTCTTTGTTGGGAGGACCACATCTGCTCTGAAATGAATGTATTGATCTTTTCTCTTTTTTTCTTTTTTTCTGTACGTGAAACTCATGACTATTATAGTTAATTTCTGAAAGGAGAGAGTGTGTGTCTGGTGGCTGGATAAATAAAAGTGCTTCAAACGTATCGCTTACCAGCTGTTACCTGTGCTGTTATTTAAGCAGAAAGACAATCAACTTATAAACACTTTCTGCCTCATTGAGGGCGATGAAAACCGAGTCCATTTGGTTCGTAAATAAGCACATGGAAGCTGAGAACTCTTTAAAACCTTTTCCAATTTTTTATTTTTCTACCATTGGACCTTGTTCTATCCAAATTTAATTTGGGTTGGCTTTTCCATAAGGCTCTCAGGGAACAAGGCACTCGGTTCAGCTAGATGCCTGACCTCCCTGCAACCTGGCTGGAAACCTGCCCTTTCCTTCATTGCAGTGCTGTACAAGAAAAGCAACGTAACAGCGTGGTCTGATTCTGACACCTCCAGCTATCAGCAGAGCATCTGGTGCTCAGCCTGCATGTCGGAATCTGGCCCTAAATGATTGCATCCAAATGCAGGTAGAATAGCTGTGCGCCTAATGAGCAGCGTGCCCGGGTCTCCAGATTCACTTAATCACTCCGAAACCCAATCTCATTACCATTGATCTATCCAACTTTCCCATCATTTATCTCCGAAAACAGGAGCACGCAGAACGTGGCTCGTCTTTAAAGTGGCGAGCCCCAAACTTCCAGCACCGCTCTCTCCCTGCTGCCTTCGCAAACCTGGGTAACTTTGCTCTGAATTTCAGGTCGCACCGTGGCCGTGGCGAGCGGCGATGGATCCGTGAAGGTGCTGTACCTGGAGCTGGGGCAGCTCTCCAGCCTGCGGGGCCACGGTGAGGAGGAAGTGCACAGCGTTGCCTTCGATCACAAGGCAAGGAGGCTGCTTTCGGGGGGTGCCGACGGTACGCTTTGCCTCTGGACCTGAGGACCAGCGCGCTGTTTTCACGTAACCTTAACCTCAAGGATTTACAGGGGGAAAAATGATTTGACAGCATGGCAGAGAGGGTTTAGTGAAGTGTTTCCGTAGTTAATGTTTTCAGGGAGCATAATTGCCCGAGAGGAGTATTATTCTGCATTTTATCCGAATAAAATCCCTGGTTTCTCCCTCTTTACTCTGCCTGTTTTTCACAACATCCAGCAGCTCCCGTTTGGTTGCTCCTGCAGAAATAGCTTTACAATGACGCCTAATGACAGAGCAGCTGAATTGCAAGGAGATCGATTTTGAGCGGAGCACCGCCAGAGCCACCAGCGCTCGGCTCCCCGTTTCCAATTGCAGCCTGCGGGAAGACGTGAAGTTTGAATAATGCAGCAAGGTGGGATTTTTGATGCAGCAACCTCTCCGGCCTCCGCCGGGGCAGGAAGGAGGCCAAATTGGGGAGCGTGGCGCTGACGGCAGCGGGGCCACCCGCGGACAGACCGCGGGGCGCGGGGGCTGCGCACAGCACAGCCTGAGCGCTCCGCAGCTGGATTAGCATTGGTTTTTCCCCATTCCCTCTTTTTTATTATTTTTTTTTCCACTGAAAAAAAAAAGAGAGAAAAAAATTAATTATTATTATTGTTACTAATAATAATAATAAGGGGCGCGGTGCGGCCATGCCCGTCCCTCCGGCTGGGGAGTCCCCGCAGGGGAGCGGGGCCCGCCGGCCGCGGGGCTCCTCCGCCCTCCCCCTGCCTGCCTACCGCCTAACCAGCCCCCTCCCCGCTCTTCTCCCCCCTCCTTCCCCCGCTGTGGCAAATCCTGAACCGCAAGAGATCCGCTGGGCATAGGGAGGGGATATATATATTTTTTTCTCTCTCCCCCCCCCCTCCTCCCGCCGCCCCCCTCCACTCAAGACCTGAGGAAATCCAGCCCAAGTTCGCCGCGATGACTGTGCTGCTGGCATCGGGGTTTCTCCGCGGCATCCCTGCCTCTGGACCGCCTCGCCGCTGCTCGCTTTGAATCCTGAACACTGGGTTAAAGCTTAATTCTCATGTCGTGGTTGCTGGGCTGCTGCTTTCCTGTGTTTGGCGATGGGAGGTGGAGGAAAAGGGATTGTCCGTGAGTCAACACTGAAAATGTGATTAGGAGGAACTGCTTTCACTAATCTGTGTCTAACCTTTTAGTCCATGTTGGCCTGTGACCCCTTTCAGCTTTCAGATCGAGCCTGATTAGGTAAGTGTAAATTATTCACTCGGGGCGAGGGAAGGTGGATGGAAACCTTTTACTCAGAGACTTACCTACGATCCTGGCCTCTCTCATGATGAGAAATGATGAGAAAGTTCAGCTGTAAACTAATTCTCAGCAAAGCAGCATTTGTTTACTTGTTGAAATCTGTCCGTACGAGGCGTCTGCAGTCTGTCTGATTTCCAGGATCGCCGCTGAGCTGAGTGCCTGTGAGTTGCTGTGGGACGTCTCAGATGACTACAGGCTGTAGCAAAATATAGCGGTCTTATTTATGATCTTCAGAGAACTTTTTTTTTTTTTTTAATTCGGAGAGCTTCCTCATCACACTTCAGCACATTGCCCTGATTGTTTCACAATTCCTCAGACATTAATTACTTCATTTGCTCCTGCTTTTTGATTTTTTTCCCCCTAAATACCCACCAATCTGCAATATTGCAAGCTACCTGTAGCATTTAGGTGGGCAAGATTCCCTGCTCTGGAGATGGGTAAAGCAGCTGCAGCTGCATGAATCGCCTGATTCCCAAACAACACGTTACGACAGATATTGCTGATAGTTGTAAGAGGCTGCATAGCCCTTGTGATGGGAAAGGAGCTAGTCCTTCAATTAAGAAGATGTCTTTTGAATTTGATAAAGCTTGTGTAATATCCGGTGTCTCCCTCTGTTGTGGCTTTGGAAAAACTGCTTTGTCAACAGGATCCCTTAGCTGCTTCTCTAGGATTAAAGCCTTCTCCTGCTGCTGCTGCTTTTTTCCTTCATTTAAGGAGAACTAATTGCTGAAAATCTGCAGTCCACCAAAAATCCCAATACAGAAAAAATGCTTCCCTGGGGGTTGGAGGGGGAGGACGTGTTCTCCTGTGTGTGCAGGCTAATGCATGTTTGGGCACGGTGCGTGTGTCTGTCTGCACACTGAGATGGGAGGACGAGAAGCAGTGCCACACACATCCAAACAAGCCCTTTCTGGTGAGTGCCAGAAACTCCCTCCATCACCCTCTCTCCCCATAAGGCTCACATCTCATCGAAAAGTTTCCTGTAGTACTTCACCCGGTCCTCAGATAGGTCAGGAACCATGCTCCTGCTGGCGCTGTGCTGGCTGCTGGCCGGCGGGTAGGAAGGACGGCGCGCTGGTGGCAGTGATGTGGCACTGCGGGCAGCCAATCGCGCACCCAAGGCACAGGCACCGAGCCTGCTTCTGGCACTGGTTCTCCCGGGGGTGATGCAAAGCTTCTCCCTCCCTGGGTTGCTTCATGGCTCTGCCACTCGAGCCAAGCTCTCCAAAAGTCTGGCCGTGCTGCATCGATCCCCAAGTTTTCCAAAGGCTCCAGCCCAAGCAGACAGACACATTTCAGCATCTCCATGCGCTACGCAGGCATTTAACATCATCCTGCTCTCAGCATTTCTCCCTGGGAATTCCTAAAATGCTGAATAATGGGGAAGGTGGATTACATCGTGCTTTCTGTTGGGATTATATGGACCTGCCGCAGGCTGGGTGATGTTGGTAGCCCAGCTAGCCTCCTCATAGCACAGAGGGACAGTGGCTACAGCAGGAGGTTAAAACCATGCTTAAACTTGGGTTCAGATCCCTCGAAACTGCAGTTTCAGGCAGGTACTTTAACTTCTGGTGCAGCAGAAAACTCAACTGCATGAATTAGGAAAATAAAAATCAGGTGATTCCCCTGAGCCACCGTTTGTATAGGGGTATTTTGTGGGCATATGCTTACACGTGTGGCTAATTGATGTATTTCATGTGCTTTAGTCTCATTACAAATAATTGAGGAGAGGCTTATTTCAAATGAAACAGAGATAGGTATCTGCATGGTTTTGTAAGCAGTGATTTATTTTTTGGTGGTGGTTGAAAGAATGGCCTTTAGTAGTCAATATCCCTTAGTATTTTGAGTTTGTTCTCACATAAAAATATTTGTTTTCAGACCACCACACTGTTCTCCTTATGGAAGCAGCTGTTTCTCTCTGGCATTGAGACCCCATGGAGAAGCCGAGGAGGGGGATGGCTCTACATATCCATGAAGCCTGGATACTTCTGTTGGTAATTCCTGGTTTGGTGACTCCAGCTGCCATCAATCATGAAGACTACCCTGCCGACGAAGGGGATCAGACCTCCAGTAATGACAACCTGATCTTTGATGACTACCGAGGGAAGGGCTGCGTGGATGACAGTGGCTTTGTGTACAAACTGGGAGAACGTTTTTTCCCGGGACATTCCAACTGTCCCTGTGTCTGTACTGAGGATGGACCTGTTTGTGATCAACCAGAATGCCCTAAAATCCACCCAAAGTGTACAAAAGTGGAACACAATGGATGCTGTCCAGAATGCAAAGAAGTGAAAAACTTTTGTGAATATCATGGAAAAAATTACAAAATCTTGGAGGAATTTAAGGTATGAAACACTTACTTCAGGATTTAATATTAGTATGATACAGGACTTGTTGGGGACTCTCAAAGGCACTCAGTATTTGCTTATTGCTGTTAATCAGAGATAAAAAGCAAAGGTCTTTTTAGCTGTGATGTAGCTCAGGCTGATGTGAAAGCTGCCACCTCCAGCCTCACGTCAACTTGGTGAGGGCCAGCGATGAGTGGAAAGTCCCAGAGCAAAATGCCAGTCTTCCAAAGTGGCTCCTCAACTTTCCTCTTTGCTCTTAGCATGAATCAAGTTGAACCACTGGTGGTGTCTGTAAAAATGGTGGTAAACCAAAATGCTGGGTGCTTTTTAGGAACCCCCTTTCCAATTTGGATAACAAAAAATGATGGCATGGTGCTGAGAGTTGTGATTCATAACTATATGAGAATGCAAGTAAATAGATTGCAGCTGTATTTAATATTTGCCTTGCAGCTGTAGTAAAGCTATCTAGAATGGCAGAAGATGAATTTCTAGGCAGATGACCATCAGGTAGAGAGAAGCTGAGATTTAATTACAGTAGTAGAGTACCTATTAGGAAAGTTGTGAAGAAATCCTTCTGGAATGTATCTTAAAAATAAGATTTTCAAAAGCCATCACCCTTTACACAACCTACATCTCTCACTCTAGTAAGTCTGATTACATGTTTTCAATTCTGCTAAGGAAAACAGTATTTCACAATGAAGTACAGGGTGTGGAAAGGCAATAGGTATACATGAGTTTGTGCTCCCAGGTCACGTGGCTTTAAAATTCATACCTCCTTAATTAAAAACAGCCTATAACTCTTCATGGCTGTATGCCCAATCTCATTATACACTTGCAAATTTATTTTCTTTTCTGACAATGAAAATACTTCCATATAGGTCTTAATGCTTCACTAATTCTCATAACATAGATTACAAATCCCTTTAAACCAGATATTTTTTTCTTTTTCAGTGAAGGTAGTGTTTGTTTCCTTTCTTCTATTATATATGGTTTGTGTTCATCTTTTTCTGCCTGTCTGCAGCTGGAATCACTCAGTATGATCAAGACAGTCTAGAGTCTTAGGCACAAAACAAATAGATGAGGACTGTATCCTCAAGGGCCATCCAGCTCAACCTGTTCTCTGCTTTGCAGAGGAACATGAAGATGCCAATCTTGTGAACTGCTCGAATCACAGGTTCTTATTGCCCTATGAAGGCCAGCCCAGCTTCACCCCACAAATATCATGCTCGAGTTGTCTTGATTTGTTAGTGGGGAAGTGTCCCACACCTGGGCTTAATTCTGGCTTGTGGTCAGGTCCTTACATGAAAGCTATCAGGAGTTGTTCTGGTGAGATTTTAGGAAAGCACGGGGAGAACAATGAGATGGATCTTTCCATTAAAGTATCTCTACCATGTGAAGAAAAGTACAGAAGTATTTATTGTGTTTTCTGAAAGAAATAATCCCGCTTGTTAATGGATTAAAGGGCAGAGAAACTGAATTTAGGGGAGAAAGGCTATTAAGGAGAGTTAGAGCTATCTGATTCAGAGTTTGTTGCGTTCAGCAACTGCGGGGTGTTGTGTGGAAAGCAAAGCTCCAGTGTCCCCAGAAAAAGGCACAGTAGATGGGGGCACAGCATTCTCACATGTGGTAGCCTTCATGTAGGACTCATGTGAGATCCTTCATATTTAACTGACTTCACAGTCGAGCTTTTGAGCTGGACCCATGTTTTACAGAGCTTGATACCTTGTGCAACAGGGCAGAAACTGATCTTTTGGAAATCTATGTGTTTACCTAGAACAAACATTGAAACTCTTTTCCTCCTAGAGATTCAGGCATTAGAAAATTGCTGTGCATTTCCAGGGGTGTTTTGGAAAAAAAAAAAAAAGTGAAAAGTGGTACCCATGAACTCTGAGTTTATAAATGCTCTAGGAAAGGAAGAACTTCCAAGATTCAGGAAACTGCAGCTATAAAGCCAAACCTTGACTTCACTGAAGCATCTGGGGATTTTGCTGTTTGCTTCAGCGGAACACAGATCAGAGAATCCCACAATCATTAAGGTTGGAAAAGCCCTCCTCTTCTCCAGACCAAACACCCCCAGCTCCCTCAGCCTCTCCTCACAGGACTTGTGCTCCTGGCCCTTCACCAGCTTTGTTGTCCTTCTCTGGACATGCTCCAGGGCCTTGATGTTCTTCTGGTACTGAGGGGTCCAAAACTGAACACAGCCCTCAAGGTGCAGCCTCACCAGAGCCAAGTACCTGAGCTTTTACCTGCCATCTCTACAGAAGAAATCCAAGGAGATACATAGGTTTTATAGGCTCTGAGCTCTGCTCTTCTCTCACCCTGTTGGACTCATAAGGTCTGCAGACTTCTCAAGCCCATGCCACACACACAGAGCTCTGGCTTTGCCAAAGAAGAGAGGCTTTCCCAGTCATTCCGACTCAAAAACAGACCTCTTCCAGTGGAGACAGAGTCACTATTTTTTGTGGGCTTGTAACCCTTTCACCTACAATTTGTTTTCGCTAATATGTAGGTTTTGAATCATCATCTGTAGAAGTGCTCTTCATTGCTTAGCTACAGCTGAAATTAACTTTCATTTAAAAACCTTTTGCAAGTGTGTGTCTGTGTGTGTGTGCATACAAACATCCATACTTGTGCTGTTAATGCTGCCAGGACTGACTCATCGTATGGAAATTTCAGCTGCCTGATCTTTGCACAAATTAGGGTTGTGTTTTCTGTGGGAAATCAAAATTTTTGAGAGGTTTCTATTTGGGAGAATTTTGGCGTCTCGTTTTTAGGTTTCTGTTTGGGGTTGGGATGAGAAATCCAAATGCAATTTAATCCTTTTATTTTCTCACCACTGACCATAGCTGTGACTATCTCTTGGTAAAAGCGTAGTTCTAGAGACCCGTTTCCTGAATATTTAGCTTCCTTCTAGTGGGCTGATTTTGGACCTCTAATCTTTTCGACTCATAGCAATCATAAGCACAAAAAATAAACATGACAACAAGCCATCTAGCTCCGACAGCTGTCCAAATGTTTATGCTTGTGCCCCTAAATCATTAACGCGTACGAATGAAACGCTGAGCTGAACTTCAGTTGTAAATCTAAAGCTGTTAGGAGTCGTTCTGTGTGCTTTGTAAAACCTTGGGTCCCTTACAGATGGCTTAGTAACCCCATGTAGGATCTGCACAGCTCTGTGATGGGTCCTAGGAGATCTCTGAGGGCTTTGGGCTCCAGCTGCCCATATGGAGCCTGCCTCATCCCCGTGGTTTGCCTGAGACTTAGCCGTGACTTCTGCTGAGGCTGAGGCCAAAGGGGAGGGCTGGTTGCTTTTAGAGGGCTCCATCCATCTCTTTCCCAACCTCATTTTCCACTTCTCTCCTTACTGGCCTCAAATCCGGCCTCCTGGGTCTCCTCCAGTCCCTCTCAGAGTGAACACGGGGTGATGAGTGGCTTCAGGGTCAGCGTGAGGGATGCTGCAAGGCTCAGGCAGTCCGGCTGCTTTCCCCGGAGAGATGTGGTGGGGACTCTCAGGGTCACTTAGCAGCTTGCTTGTGTTTTGATTTCAGTGCTGGAGGTTAAGGTCCAAGTCCCCAGTGCTCCACACTCGCCTGTAAAGCAGGGATCTTTCGGAGAGGTTGCCAACCCTCCCCTTTCTTCTCAGGGAGAGAAAATAAGCAAATAAATCAGCGAGCAGGCCTGGTTATTGGGAGCGCACATGGTTGTGTGTTAAATGAACGCTCCCAGACAGCAGCTTATGTAAAGTAAAGGAGACAGCGTTCCGCCAGCGTGATGAATGTCCATTGGCAGCTGATGGAGAAATCCTGCAAATGTCAGTGAGACAACAGTTTTCCTAAGTGCTGAGTAGTTTGTACACTGCTGCATAACTTACAGGCAGAAAAACACGTGCCTACCTGGGTTAATAAATACGATTGGTGGCAGGGGTTATGGTACATTCGTAGCCACAGCTGGGAGCCTTCTGCAAATGTTTAGTTTGTCCGTTTGGTCTGTCCGTAATCCCCTCTGAAGTTCCTGGTCTCTCATCACTGAATATAGGCGTGGCCAGACTACCCTCTGCGCACCTATCGGATCATCTGGCAAAACGTGAGTTCACAAGAGATCGTCAAGCTGATGTCTTGAAAGGTTGTCCTCGTTTCAGAGCAAGCAGCTGGGAGCTAACTCCCTGTCCTTGCAGGACAGCAGCTCCCCGTGACGTGGTTTTCTGTAGCATGGTGTCGTGGTTCTCAAAGTCAACAGCAGCAGATTTGTGGCCACAGACATTAAAATATCTCCATTTGCCTGGCAGGGCGTTGGGTGAGTTATCCTCGGGAAGGAAAGGGAGAGGTCTTGGCATCACAGCTTTGCCTTCCTGGCAATATTTAGCTTCGTCCTAGGCCAAAATCTCCACTGACTTAAAAAGAGGCAGGGTTTCACTCCTGGAGTTCTCCTCTATTTTTCTGTCGTGTTGTTTCCTTCTGCTGTATCTTTGTCTGTGTATCACCTGTAATCCTTCAGCCAGGGCTCCTGTATCTTTGCTGACTTTATGTCTTCTTGAATAGCACTTTGCACAGTAGGGATCACAGCTCTAGCAGGGATCTTTGGGGCATAATCAGGATCCAAAATAAATGAGGGACTGTATAAGCATAGCATTATCATATACTAATTCTCAGCTCATTATGGAAACCTGTACTTTGGAAGAGCAGCACCTCCTTCTCCTTGGTTAATGCTCTTTAAAAAAATGTTTTATTAATGCAATTATCTTAATATAACTTAACAAAATAATACCCTTCATCAAAAGGCGTTAGCAGAGGCACGAGCTCCTTCAGCTGCTCTCCCAGCATTGCTCAGCCCCTGAAATGCAGCGTGGCCATTCTGCCTCTGGGTGAAAGGAGGCAGCAAAGACAAAAAGTGATTCCCCCACCCAGCAACCATGCCAGAAGTAGAAATTAAGCAGTACAAACCACAGCCATGCCCTGACCACTGCTTACACCTTGTTAAACAGGAGTGAAGCCACTGGG